TTTGGTTTTTATTCGATGAAATAATAAAATTTAATATCTTCACAGATTTAGAAAATAACATTTAATTTAACGTGAAAAACCTTTTTAACAATTACCAACGTTTCAAAGGTTTTGTTTTTAAACTTTTTACAAAAACAAATAAATAAAATCTTTTGTCATTGATTATTATTTTCGATTTCAAAAAAAAAAAAAAAACAAAATAAAAAAAAACTGTTCGAATTAAAATTTCGTAATTTAACATAGAATAAATTATTATTATTATTATTATTATCATAAATAACACTTAAATAAAAAAAAAAATTTTAAAACATTAAAAACAAAAAACGCGGCTTTAAATTTCATAACAAAAAAAAAAAAAAACGATAAATCATTATTTTATTTATTAATAATTTTTTAAAAATAAAATTACGGCTTTGGTACATTTGCATATAAAATTATTATTATTATTATTATTTTATTGCTAAAAACTAAATATTTTCGAAAATATTTACAAAAAAAAGAAAAATTACGTATTTAAAAACAAATTTTTACCTGAATTTTATGTTTTGTTTTGTTTTGAAACGAACGATTACAAAATTTTCATTGTATATAAACTAATGATGATCACGTGATTTACAGGTACAAACACGAATTTCAATCATTTATCATTAACAGCGGTAAGTTAATATTTACCTTAACTATTAATAATTCTCAATAAATTATTATTAATAATTTTTATTATTTTAAATAAAAAAATACTCGTGCATACATAAATAAAATTCAATAAATTAATTTTTTTTTGTTTTGATAACAAAAAAAAAAAATTATCAATAAAATAACATTTTATTTAAATTCATTTAAAAAACGAGAATTTAATAATGAATGAAAAAAGAATAATAATAATAATTTTATTTATTTTTTCTTTTTTTCAGTTTCCGTATCGATTGTAATAAATTCATCATCTGAAACATAAAAACAATAAAATGATTTTCAAACGGAATAAGAAACAAATAATAATAATAATAATAATCAATACTTACTCCATATTTTATTATTTATGGATTCTCCTAATCTCATAATAAAAAAACCAAATAAATAATTTCCGTATATGTAAATAAGTAAATGCCATTTACTTAATAAAGACACAAGGGGATAAGGCCAAACTCCTCCGATCAAATATAATATCGTGCACCTGCGAATGACAATAATAATAATAATTGTAAATTATTTAAACAGGATGTAACAAAATAATAATAATAATGAGGAGGAGGAAAAGGAGGAAAAGTCGTTGACGAGTGTTTATGTCTTATTTATTATTTTATTTTGTAATTTTGTCTAAAGGGAAAATTAACGATAAGTTATCAATCGAAAATTTTCGTGAATTAATTATTATTTGTTTTGTACTCTATGGTTGTATATTTATTGTTTCAGGTATCTAAATAGTTTAACGGTTTAATTTGCGTAAAGGAGAGCGTGGGTTGTACGAGAGAAAAACAAGACAGAACAAACGACTCGAAACATCTTGATGAAGGTTTTAATTCGTCCTGATCTTGTCTTAGTCACTCCAACAAAGTTCAAAAGATGTCTGATTCGTTCCCATCGAATAAAAGAAGGAAAACAAACAAGAATTCGATTCAGGTATCAAAAACAATCAAACGTAATAAAAATTATTCATTTATAAATTTCAAATAATGAATGAAAGAAAAATTCGGACAAGGACATATAAAACTTGTCGTGAATTAAAAAGGTATAATAATAATAATAATAATAATAATAAGGTAAATTCTTACGTCAAGCAATACAACGTTAAGACGGTGGATAAACCTAAAAAACCTTGAATTTTAGTCGGGTACGATCTATATGTGATAAATTTTTCGATGCACGCGAGTAATAAAATGGTCGTGTGTAATCCGTGATTTACCCAACTTGGAAAAAATGATTCCGTCACGTTGTCTTCGTCTATAACTCTCGGATAATATGAATATATAGCCCAAAAATTTATAGTGACCAACTGAAATAATTAAGTAATAAGTGATTATTATTATTATTTTGTGTGTGATAAGTGATAATAAATGTATGTAATTTGTGAATTATGAAAAAAAAAAAAAAAAAATGGACTCACGATGGATAATGGAAATACGATTGATGAAAATGCATAGGGCAATATCATTTTTAGGTAAGTTTTTATTTTAACGTATTTTTTCGAATTTGTAAATTCTAAAACGTCCTGAAGCAAACAAGCATTGAAATATGTTTGTTCGATTATCTGAAAACAAAAATTAATAACATTTATTGAAAAATTACTCGATTGAAATTTTTTTTTGTTTTCTTCTTCTTATAAAATAAACGTAAACGGAGACCGGAAATCGATAGAAAATTCGAAATGGTAAATAATAATAATAATAATAATAATAATAACGTAAAATTATTTGTTAATCCCTTACAATTTTATTTATATAAAAATATAAATAAATGTGATCTGAAAATAATTAATAAAAAACGCGTTTGTTTGATTGTTAGCCAAACTAAAAATAATTTTAAAAAAATCAATTTTCTATTATTATTATTATTACGTTAATATTTTTTTTTTTTTTTTAAATGAATGAAAACTAGAAAATCACACGTTTAAAATCACATTAAATTACGGGGAAAAAATTTCATTTTAATGATTTTGCTATCGTTCACAGATGAATTAGAAAAAAATTTTTTTTTTTTTTTTTATTAATCGTTAAATTAAATTTAAATTTTTTTTCTTTTATCGTCGTCACGAGTCAAAATTATTACGACAACATCAATGTGAATAAATTACAGACTTATAATTATTATTATTATTATTATCATTATCATTATTTAAAAATGAAATAAATAAGTAATGTTTAATTAATCGATCGATTGATTCAATGACGAAATAATCGAGAAAAAAAAACAACAACAAACGCACGAGACGGCACGTCAGTCATCAACCGTTTCTTTCTCTCTTACATTTTATTATTATTATTACTCTTAACATTTTTTTTCTCATTTTTTAAGAGGGGTAGGGGTAGGGAGAATTGAGAGGGGGAGGGGCGAAAGAAAAAATTTAAAAAAAAACTCCTCCCCGGAAAGAGATCAAAACGTTACGAAAAATCCTCTTTCTGGATATAATGAGATAATTTCGCACGAGTTTTTTAAAATCAGGGTTTTAACCAAAGGAGGGGGGGGGTTCTTTTTTGAAAATTTAAAAGCAGAAGACACATCGTTTATACACGCTCAATAAATCTAGGAAAAAGATAAGAAAAATAATAATAGCGACGGTCTAATAATAATTTTTTATTAAATCGTTTTTATAATGAAAACATTAATTATCGACATTGATGAAAAAAAATTTTTTTAACGAATTTAATCAACGACCGAATTGTATAGCAATAAACTATAATTTAATAGTCTATAAAAAAAAGAAAAAAATTTTTTTTAATGATTCTCGTATAAACGTTTACCCAAAACGTTAAAAAAAATTTTTTTTTTTAATTACAAAACTCAATAACGAAAAGAAATTCCATTAGAGAAAATTCTTAAATTTTTTTCTTTTTTTTTTTTTTACTGCATCAAATTCATTTTCTTAACCGTTTACGTTAAATTCATAATATTAGGTTATGAATTTTTTTCTTCCCCCTCCTCCCCCCTTTTTTTTTTATTTGCTGGAACAAAAAAAGAAATGAATTTTCATCATCCTGGAAAATATATTTGCATAAAAATTAATAAAGATATTTTTTTCTTTTTTCTACTGGTTATTTTTTTAGGCGCGACTCTTTTTTAATTTTAATTTTTTTTTAACGATAAATCACACGAGATTAAAAAAAATTTTATTTTTTAAATTTCCGCTATAAATTTATTTTTTACATTATCATCATCATCATCACTATTATTATTATTATTATTATTATTATTATTATTATTATTATTATTATTATTATTATTATTATTATTATTATTATTATTATTTATTAAAGCGAATAATTTAACGAAAAAAAAACACGTGGCAACACGTCAAATCAAAACCGGGTTTCTACCTTTTTTTCTTTTCTTTTTTTTATTAATTGAAACGGAAATAAGATTAATAAAAATTAATTAATTTTTTTATTTAAATAAACGTTCGCGAGGCATAATTTTTTAATAAATAAATAACTTACTTGATTCCAAATAGTTATGTATTGTATTCCATACCCACATGTTTTATTAACTAAATCCATTCTATTGAAAAGTATGTAAAAAACTCCGGCTAATGTTTGATAATTTAATAACATGTGCCATAAAAAAGTTAATAAGTGAAAAAAAAATGTCCTACGTTTTAATAAATTATTAATTAATATATTTAATTGTAAATTTTTAATTAGAATATTATAATCGATTTTTATTTCCATAAACGGTAGTAAAAATTTTTTCACATCTACGACCGACATGTTTTTTTTAAACACTTTAATTATTATTATTATTTAATAATTATTAATAATATAAATAAATAAATAAATAATTAATCGAAACGTTTTATTATAAAAATGACTTTAATGATGATAACGTTTTGATTAGTCCGAGAGACATCAACGGAGTCCGTGTTAAAAGGCGACAACTTTTGTTATGAAACAAACACTAAATAAATTTTTTTTTTTTTGTTAAATATCGATTTCCATGTTAAAACTTTTTCATTTAAAATCTACGGTCAATATGAGTTAAATAAGAGAGAGAGAGAGAGAGAGAGAGAGAGAGAAAAAACATGATTGACGTGATTTTGTTTGTTTGTTTGTCAAAACATGATTTTTATGATTCATTTTTACACAAAATAATTTTTTCTATTTTATTATATTCTATTCTATTTTTTGAACTTTGTAATCGATTAATCAATAATATCAAAAACATTATTATTATTATTATCATGTTTTTTTCTGTTAAATTTATTTTTAAATTGTTGTTGTTGTTGTTACGTTCGCTTATTTTATTGAAAAAGGTTTTGTTTGTTGAAATAATTATTCTTATTTGGGGGAGGAAAAGTTTAGGGAAAATTTAATTCCTTAATTAATCGATCGGCACATAGTCGATTTTATTAATAATGATAATAATAATATTTTTTTTTCAAAAAGGGGGATTTGAGTTAAGTCATATTAAGAAAACAAACGAATGATTATCATAATTAAATGTAAATTTTTCGTATAGCATATTTTAAAGGGATTTTGTTTTGCACACGTTATAAGATGAAGATGAAATTCGTTGATTTTTTTTTGTGGGGAGAATGGGGTGGCTGGGGATGGGGGTGGTGGTGGTGGT